GTCACTTTGGATTCAATCACTAGTACCACCAAAAAAAAAAGTAATGATTCATACTCTTGTCAGCAGTGGATGGATACAGGGAAATGGACACTCATCTGGAATTTATTTTATTTTTCAAGCATCATTTATTTGTCTGTGTATGTAATTTACTTTGTATATGGCCTAAGGTAGGGATATAGCTTTGCTTTCTTTTCTGTTGGCTAACCAATTTTGAAAAGACTGTTTCATAATAAACTATGTTTTTGCACAGAATTCAAATTGACATTATATTTATATTTTCTGTAGTTATTGCTTTTAGCTTCTATATCTTCTCCTCATCCTTCAAGTTTTCTATTGACTTAGAGGAAGGGACATGGCAAGAAGACAAAATGCAGAGTTCATTTGCCATCTCTTTTCCTTGTTTTTATGTTTCAAAAACCCAAGTCCTAAACCGGGCATGGTGGTACACACCTGTAATCCCAGCACATCTGAGGCTGAGGCAGGGGGATCACTGTGAGTCTGAGGCCAGCCTGGTGTACACAGTGAGTTCAAGACCAACCTGAACTACACAGTGAGATCTGTCTCAATAAACAAAACAAAACAAACAGCCAAACAATAAACCCAAGTCCTTAGGGGAAGAGGATTAGGGATATTGATAAAGTGGCTAGGGAGAAGGATTTTATGCAGCCTAAAGACAGAGTCTGGGACCGGGGATATAGCCCAGGGGGCACAAGCTCCTGCCTGGCAAGTGCAAGGTTTTGAGTTCAGTTCTCTGTGCCAAAAAAAAAAAAAAAAAAAAGACACATTCTGGCCCTTCCTACCCTACTAGGGTTACAGATAATGTAATGCCATCAGGGAGCTCCTTAGGTTCTAGGTAGAGAGGATCCATCCTTTGCTTCTTCGCACCATCCTTGCATAGACAGCAAAGCTTGAAAGAGAGCTATTCTAGGCAACCTTAACAAAAATTCCCACATCACTTGCGGGGCCCCAGTTTAACAAAGGCCTAAATGAGCTTGAAGGAACACTGTGGACAGTGTTCTGCTAATCTGTGTGGCCTGATAACCAAAGATTTAATAGAGCTCTGCTCTGGAGCCTCAGTACTGTAAAATAGCTGAGAACTATGTCTTGAACCTGGATTGAAGGAACACGAAGAAAACTTAGACCCAGGCGAGGTGGCTCATGCCTGTAATCTCAGCTACTCAAGAGGCTGAGGCAATTTAGTGAGATCCTCTTTCAAAAAACAAAAACCAAGCCGGGCATAGTGGCACACACCTGTAATCTCAGCACTCAGGGGGTTGAGGCAGGAGGATCGCAGTGAGTTTGAGACCAGCCTGGGCTACATAGTGAGTTCAAAGATAGACAGAAGTAAGCGAGACCCTGTCTCAAATCACCCCTCCACAAAAAAAAAAAAAAAAAAGTCAAAAGAGGAAAAGCAAAAAAAGGAAGAGTAGAGAGGAAGAGGAAGAGGAGCAGAAGGAGAGGAAATTTAACTTTCCCCACGGAAAGTTGGAGCCTAAAGTTAAATGGAATCACAGACAACAAAGAGAAAATATTTAAGAGCATGAACTCTGAACTAAACTAACTGGATTCAAATTCTAGCTCTGCCAGTCACTTCCTGAATTAACCTGGGCAAATTATTTAATCGCCTGTGCCTTGATTTACTAATTTGAAAGTGATGTTAGTAATGACATCACAGGATTTGATGGGTGATATAAAGCTCACAGTAAATGTTATTTAATTATTAGCTGTTATTATTATCATACATTTTAGTTGCTAGACTATGATTCCTACATCTAACAAGAAAGAAACACTCTACCCTGAGCTACACCCCAACTAAGACTTTTCTGAAAGACCATTTCTTACAGAAATATATAGAGGGGTCATTGGAAGGGAGGGAAGAAGAGAGGAAGGAAAAGGAGACCAACAACTGAAGCCTTATTCATTAGTCCTGAAGCTGAAGTTTCTGATTCTCAGAAAAATATACTATGCCAGACTGTTCATTTCTAAAATAACTGAGCACTCAGGAGGCTGAGGCAGGAGGACTGCCATAAATTTATGAACAGTCTGGACTTTACAGTGAGTTTAAAGCCAGCCTGGAATGCATTACATTACCCTGTCTTGAGAAGAAAAGAAAAAAGAAAAGAAAAGAAAAGAAATAAAGTGCCACTTGAGAGACAGAGGAAACCAGGGGGTAAGGAAGGGGATGTTCCCTAACACACATTGGTGATTAGCTGTAATTGCCTATTTCCCTTTCTGCCCACATTGGCATTTGTATTGAGTTCTGGACTAGGTTGTCTCAGACAGAGAAGCACATACACCAGTAAGAGGTCTACATTGAAAGCAACCTGTCTTTGGATGGGAACACTCTTGTTTGGTTTTCAAATTTCTAAAGCTCATAAAAGTCACACTACTTAATAGTTACTGAACCAATGTTTGCCTGTTAAAGAAGTGCTTGGAAGAGTTCACATCTGAGCAGGTTGAAGGGCTCACATTTTCAAGTATTGTTCAGTGTCGATTACATCATCAGGCTCAGAGATAAAGGCAGAGGGACAGGGCCACAGTCTTTGAGCTGAGTTCTTTGTTTTGTAAACGTGGATGTACACAGCGGTGGTAGGAGTCTGTCGTCCCTGAGAAATAGAAACCATGGCCACAAATTTCTAGTTACCATCTCATGTGAGTCAGGACCTACAAAGATTTGGAATAATTTGTTAACCTTTCAAACTGCCCCTTCATGGTAGTTTCGCTACTCTTCCAAGTGTTTTCCCCACACTAGTCAATAATTCAACAGAGGAAAAGACTATCTTCAGGAGTGTGAGGAAAGGAGTGTGGGAAATCCCACCCATTCTTCAGCTAATTGTAAATACAGAGACTCTCAAAGTACAGTGCTGGTATTATTTGGAGAAATCACACCTTTATTCTTTCAAATTTGTAATGAAGGAAGACCTCCACAGGTGAAGTGGCTGAATCTCACCCTGTCCCTTGTCACAACTGTAAGATGGGGGTTTGAATTTATTTAAGGGCAATGGTCTGGTTTTCTTTTCTTTCTTTCTTTCTCTCTCTTTTTTTTTTTTTTTGGTTTTTCTCCGGTACCAGGAACCGAACTCACGACCTTGTGCTTGCCAGGCAGGCGCTTTGCCGCTGAGCTAAATCCCCAGCCCTTTCTCTTTCTTTTTTTCTTTTTTTTTTTTTCTTTCTTTCTTTCTTTCTTTCTTTCTTTCTTTCTCTTTTTTGAGACAGGGTCTTGCTATGCAGTTCCAGCTGGACTTGAGCTCACATTGTAGCCCAGGCTGGTCTCAAACTCACAATGATCCTCCTGCCTCAGCCTCCTGAGTGCTGGGATTATAGGTGTGTGCTACCACTCTGGTTTTCCTACATGTTCCAGCAACACGGGGATTAACAGGTGATCTTCAAGAGGAAAAGGGTAGAAACAAGACAGAGGTCTACAAGGCCTCCTATCTGTTTGTGTTTTTGTGGTGCTGGGGATTTAAAGGCCTCTTATCTTTGCATTCCATTTGGACCTTAGAAGCCACAGTTAAAGTTGAGAGGGCTGTTGTTTTGTTTTTTGAGGTAGGGTCTTGGTATGTAGTTCAGGCTAGTTTTGAACTCACTATATAGCCCAGACTGGCCTTCAACTCGTGGCGATCCTCCTGTTTTAGCCACCTGAGTTGGGGATTATGGGCGTGCACAACCACACCTGGCTGAGAGTGCCTTTTTAAACCACTGGAAACGGCTGGGATCTATAGCAGGAAAAGAAAAATAGGTGTTGTAGAAGGAAGAGGTTGGTATAACCCAGTAATAGGCCCATGAAGCTGGGTCATTGAGAAGAGTAGCCTGGTATTTTCCACACAGCCTGCTACTCTCAAGGCATCCTGCTAAGCCCTGAGGGGCTTTGGAAAAGAAATCTTACCCTTTAGGAGTTTTCATTCAGGTGCTAGGACACCAGATGTATCCCTGGGGGGCTGAAAAATGCTTGCGCTCTGGACAAAGAACACCTGGGCTTAGGTTTTAATTCCTCTGTACATAGTTGTGTGAACTTGAATAAGTCATGTCCATTTTCTCTCCTAAGCCTGTTTCCTCTGTCAAACCATGATTGATGAAGTGAGAATTACAGAAACAATTCTGCACTGCACCTCACGCAGCACAGGAAGCGGTTTTAAAATTAAGCCACTGAACAGAAGTTAACGCGTAGTGAAGGCCCAATGAAGATAACATTCACTACCAGCAAGAGGACCCGGGAGTTTTTCAGGTAGATGGACAGTAGGAGACTGAGAGGGCCAGCTACAGGGGAAGGTAGCCTTTTCGCATGCGCGCAGTCTTGGAACCCAACAGAGCAGCGAGGGGGCGGGGCCAGGTTTCTGAAGGGGTTGCTATGGCACCGAGGGGCCAAGAGAGGTTAACCGAACCCTTAAAACATTGCTCCCTCCCCCACCCGCCATCGCCAGGGCCGAGGGCCATTGTTCCCTGCAAAATGGCGTCAGTAATCCTCCTCCCGGTCACAGGCCTAAGTAACGCTGAGAGTGGAAGTGAGACCGAAGGTGAAAACCAAAACTACAATTCCCAGGATACACTGCATTTGCCTGTGAGGCGCAGGGCACGTGCCCAGGCCTAGCGGTTACAGGCCTTCAAAATTCCGTTTCATAGCTTTCCTTTCCCATCCCCGCTTTGGTTGTTGCCCAGCCCCCGCGCGCGCGCACTGCAGTCCTGAGGGGGGGGGGGAACATGCCGTGGCCGTTGCCCTCGAAACGTAACCGAGAGACCGGTATTTGTAAATCTGTGCTTCGACTTTTAATCTCAAAGCCCGCAGGTAGGAGTCTCGCGAGAAAAACTGGGAGTTGAAAAAGGGGAGCTAGGGTGGCGGGTGAAAAGGTGCTGGCGGGTACCACATTTCAATAGAGCTACCACGTTGAATGGCTTGCTGAGAATTGAGAGTGGGCGCTGCGTGGCTAGGAAGTAGTGTGTGCTTGGACTTTTTTTTTTTTTTTTTTTCTCTTTTGAGGGAGAGGGCAAAGCCGCCGTGAAGAGAATGAGAGATTCAGAACACACGGGAGATGTCATGCGTGGCTCCCGACTGAAATTTTCTTTTTGGAGAGGAGAAGCCTTTCTCCTCGACGCGCATCCCTCTCTCCCGCTGCGTTGAAGAAGGCGGGGGAGGCGTGCGCACGCTCTAGTTGGCTAGCTACTCGGCACCTCGTTGCGATAGGGGCTGCTCCGAGTTAGGGCTGCTCCGTTGGCGTTCGCTGCCCCTCCCCCTCTTCTTTTCTCCCCTCCCTTCCCCGCCCCCCACCGCCCCTCTCTTCTACCCATCTGAATTCCCTGGCTGGAGTACGCGTGCGCTGGGTCAGCTCCCTTCGAGCGCGAGCTTGGGCTCCTACCCTGCTCCTTTAACCCCGCCCGCTCTTTACCTACCGGCCGTAGCTGGCCCGGTGGGCTCGCGGGGAGACGCTCGCGCGCGCACGCGCACGCGCACACGACGCGGAGCGGAGCCGAGACGTCGAGGAGGGGAGTAAGAAGCATCGGAAGAAGCGATAGAGGAGGCGGCGGTGTGTTTGTGTGTGTGTATGTCTCTGTTCTACGGTGTGACTCGTCGGGGGGCTGGAGGAGGTTTGAGAGAAGGCGAGGAAGAAGCAAAAAGTCAGTCTCTCTTCTTGAAAGCCTCTAGTCTGGTGAGGGTCCCGGGCGCGTTGGGACGCAGGGAGAGAGGGAGGAGGCCGGGGGGCGTGTCGGATCGGGCTGAGAGATGAATGGGCCGGGGATGAATGGAGGGAGACGGCGGCGGCCAAGTCTGTTCCGAGTAAGTGTCCTAGTGGGGGCCAGCTTGACTGAGGCCAGGTGAGTGCCATCACCAGTAGTTACTGGAGGAGTCTGCACTGGGATCTTTGGGGTTGTCGGAGCCGCTGTCAAAGTGACGGATTAGGCGGAGAGAAAAATTAAGAGGCAGAAAGTGGGGAAGGGTAGATTTGAGGTTGAGATGCATTTTTTCTTTTCGTTTTTGTTTGGAGGGGAGCAACTTTGAGAGCAGATGGAAGACCAGGGGACAGGGAAGGAGAGGAGGTCACAAGAGGAAGACCAGGGGACGGTTGACAAAGGACTGAGTAATCATTTAAGTGAGATTGAGGCTACTGAAAGAGAAGATCGCTTCGGATGTGGGAAGTTGAGTAAGGTTTCAGTGTTTGAATTGATGGAAATTGGGTGGGGTAAAGAGTGGATTTAATTTTTATGTTCAGATGATGTGTGATGTGTGTGTCGACTGATCAGAGTGAGGAATATTGCAGTCTGGTTTTGTGAATGTGTTAGGTTCACGGGGAATTGAGAGGTGTTATTTGGGGAGGGGCGGTGTGTGTTGTGTGACTAACATGTTGGGGATGGCAAGGAGATAGCATGATAGGGATCCGATAAAAGTGAGATGGCTTCGTTGTATGGAAAGAGGTTTTGTTTGACTAGAGAGTGGTGAAACATTTATGTAGTGGGGTGTGGGTGGAAGTCCTGTTCGTGTGTATCTCCGTATCTCAGGAGTTGAAAGATGTTAAAATGAGGCTAAACCTCCAAACAGATGCAAGTAGTACAGCTTATTCCTTTTTAAGAGTTACTGCTGAGGCAATTATATGAATAGCCTTTGAGTGGTGAAAATCTGATTAGTAATGATTGCATCCTATTCTTGGAGGCTTTGTTACCTGGTTTTCATTGTAGTAAGTTTGAATAGCAAGAAAACCTTTAACGAGGTCTTAGTATAGGACAAAGAGCCACAGGTGTCTTCTCGAAATCTCTATCCTTTGGATTGATGAACTTAAAAATTGTTTAAGCTCGACAATCCAAAGGAAAGATACCTAGCATTAAAACACAGCTAAAATGTACTAAAGCTGATTTTGAGTGCTTAAATAATTATACATGATATTTTGGTCCTTTTGAATGTATCTCGTTTGAAAATTGGCACTTCCGTTTTGGTGTGAGTTTAAATTACAACATTACTTGGACATTTTATTCTCTGAATACATCATTTCTGGTAAGGATGTCCTGTGATGGTTTTATTCTGTTCTGGGTCAAGATTTATTGTTACGGATTTCTAACTTTTCATGATTATTTTTTACAGATTTTACTGATGTGTATTGAGTTCTCTTGGAAATGTTGCAAGTTTGAGAACATGTCTAGTGTTCTGTTATCATATTGGAAAGAATGCAATCTTTTTTATGGCTACCCATAGTTTGGATACAAAAGTTAGTACTATGTTCATAGTTTGTCAGATTGAGAGAGAGAGAGAGAGAGAGAGAGACAGAGAGAGACAGAGAGAGAGAGGGACAGAGAGAAGTTATCCATAGCATCTCTGCCAGACAAAGTGGTCTCCTAGTTTTGAACTAGAGGAGGCTAGAAAGTGTAAGCATGGTATATTTGGGGAGTGGAATGAGATAAGGCTGGAATCTTAAGGCTGAGGTGAAGGACTAGATTTAGCTCTGCCTTCAGAAATTCTTTCTCTTGTCTTTTTTTTTTTTTTTTTTTTTTTGAGACAGCGTCTTCCTGCATAGTCCAGGCTGGCCTTAAACTCACTGTGTAGTTCAGGCTGGCCTTGAACTTAGCAGTCCTCCTGCGTTAGCCTCCCGAATGCTGAGGTAGCAGGCATGCATCATCATGCCTGGGTCTAAAATTCTTGAAAACCTTTCCTGCTCCCCCTTTCTTCGTTTGGCTGGCATCATCCTCTAAGCTAAATAAGATGCCCCTCTTTAGAGTTCCCACGCTTAGTATGTAATCTTATTTACTAGACTTCCGTTGGGAGGCAGGCAGGAAAGGTATTTTCTTCCTTATTTTTGAAAGAGAAAGTGAAGCTCAGAAAAACAAGACATGGCCTAATAAGTGGTAGACCTTGGAGTTCTGATTTCTAAACCAATGTTAATCTTCATATCAAAAGTCTACATTTATTGGTATTATTACTCTGTAGTGTTTCAGAAGTTAGATTTCTGTAGTGTTGACTAAAGCTTCTTCCATAAATTAGAGGAGTTTCTCTTTTCACTAAGTTATCCATTGCTTAGCAAGTAAATAATAAAGCCAGTGGCTGTAAAGAACCATAGTAGAAATAAAGAAAAGGAGAACTGTATATTACTAACAGATTTCTAGTCTGGAAATTGAATTAAAAATAATTAGCCTCAGAGGGCTTAAATTTTTGTGTAAATGTATTAGGAGGAGGAGGGGTTATGTGTAAGAAAAAATACCAATACTCTTCCTTTCTGTATCATCTTACTATACGCAGACCAGCTCTATTTGCAGATGTACTTGATTATGTCTTTTGGGTAAAAGCCAGAATTCATGTTCCCCTCCCCTTTTTTTCCTTCCTTCCTTCCTTCCTTTCCTTCCTTCCTTTCCTTTCCTTTCCTTTCCCTCCCTCCCTCCCTCCCTCCCTTCCTTCCTTCCTTCCTTCCTTCCTTCCTTCCTTCCTTCCTCTGCGGATTGCATGCTGGGCCTTCATACAGACCTACATCCCCAGCCCTTTTTTAAATATTTATTTTGAGAGAGGGTCTTGCTAAATCAATAAATTGTCCAGTCTGGGCTCAAATTTGTGATCCTCCTGCCTCAGCCTGCCAAAATGCTAGGATTATAGGCTTGTATTACCACCCTGGGCTCAGAATTCTTTTAAAGGAATGTGTCTTTTCCATTTTTGTTTGAGATACAAAATTTGCGATACTGTTGAGATATTTGATGACTAAGGGACATCTATAATGGCATTTATTCAGAAATTCTCTAAATCTCAAAGGTAGAATTAAAGCTGGGTGTGATGATACATACTTGTAATTCCACTGTTCTAGAAGATAGTGGGATTACAAGGAGGATTGCAAGTTGGAGTCCTCCTGGGGCAATTTAGCGAGACCATGTCTTTAAAAGCGTGGGTGGGGGGGGTGGAGATGTAGCTCAGTGGGAAGACCCTGAACTTTCTTTTTTTTCCTCTTCTTTTTTCAATTCTGGGGCTTGAACACAGGGCCTCAAGCATAGTATGTAAATATCCTACCACTGAGCTACATCTCCAGCCCCTCCATCTCTCTTTTTGAAAAAGTCTTAATAGGCCAGGCATGATGGGACATGCCTGTAATCCCAGCACCCTGGATGTTGAGGCAGGAGGTTTGCCAGGAGTTCAAGGCTAACCTGGACTACATAGTGAGACCCTGACTCAAACAAACAAAAAAACCCCAAACAACCCCACCACCAAAACAATCTTAATAGAAATGAAGTACATTGTTTTCTGTGTTTTAGTATGGTAGCTTTTAGAAATGTGTGATAAACCAGGTGTTGTGGTGCATGCTTGTAATCCCAGCACTGGGGAGTTTAAGGAAGGAGGACTTAAAATTAGAAAGTAGCCTGAACTACATAGTAAGAACCTGTCTCAAGAAGCAAAAACAAAACAAAAGAAAAACCAAAAACTCCTCATAAAATTCACATAACACACTTACTGTTTGAACCATTTAAAAATATACACTTCAGTGGCGTTATGGAACTTTATGGTATTGTGCAGCTAGCACCACTGTCTAGTTCCAAAATATTTTCGTAACCCCAAGGGAAGTTCTATGCCCAGTAAGCAGACACTCCTCATTTTCCCTTCTCCTCAGCCTTTGCTGTCTCTTATGGATTTACCTTTTCTGGATATTTCATAAGTGGATGTAAGGTATAGATGATCTGTTATGTCTGAATTCTTCCACTTAGCATGTTTTTGCAATTCACCCATATTGAGACATATACTGGTGTGTGATTGATTCCCTTTTACAGTTGAATAATATTCCATTGTATTGGTATGCCACATTTTGTTCATTCATTAATTCATGCATGTATTTGGAATGTTTCCATCTTTAAGCTTTTTTGAGTAGTGCTACTATGAATATTCATGTGCAAGTTTTTGTTAGAATACCTGTTCAATTATTTTGGGTACCTAGAAGTGGAATTGCTGGGTCATGTAATACTCATGTGTTTAACTTGTTGAGGATCCACCAAGCTGTTTTTCACAGTGGCTGTCCTGTTTTGCATATTCACCAGCAACATATGCGGATTACAATTTCTCTACATCCTCATCACTTGTTGCTTTTTTGCTTAAAAAAAAAAAAAAAACGAGACTCCTTGTGGGTGTTATGTGGTGTCATTGAGTTTTTAATTTGCGTTTCCCTAATGAATAATGATATTGGGTATCCTCTCTTGTGTTTGTTGACTATTTGCATTTCTTCTTTGGTGAAATGTCTATTTCATTTGCTAATTTTTAATTTGATTGTCCTTTTATTGATTTGAAAGAGATTTTTTTGGTTTTCTTTTCCTTTTTTTTTAGACAGGGTCTCACTATGTACCCCAGGCTGGCCACAAACTCATGGCAATCCTCCTGCCTCAGCCTCTTTAGTGTTGGGATGAGAAGTGTGTGCCACCATGCCTAGCAGAGTTGTAAGAATTTTTAAAAATCTGTATTCTGGATACTAGTCCCCGGTGAGATATGTGATTTGCAAATAGTTTATTTCATTCTGTGAGTTGTCTTTATACTTTTTTGATAGTGTGTTTTAAGGCACAAGAGTTTTGGAATTTGATGAAGTCCATTTTATCTATTTTTTTCTTTGGTTTCTTGTGCTTTCAGTTTTATATCTAAGAAATCATTGCCATTTCAAGGTCACAACGATTTACTCCTGTATTTTCTTTGAAGAGTTTTATAGTT